TAGGTGAGAAGAATTTTCAGGATCAAGTCCTGTGTTCTTCAGGCAAGGCTCCTAAAAATGAGCAACTGTGTCTGTGTATAGATGATGCCGAGACCTTGGTTGGTACCTGGCGTCTCCGGACTTTATAGATGTAGGATTTGCCACAGAACTTCTTCCTTAGGAGAAGCTCCAGCATCTCATCTTGCTTGGCTTTTACGCTGTTGTTCTGTAAGTCTGTTCTGTTAAGTCCTCAAGACAGCAGCAATACTGCATAGATCCTGCCCCAAGCATTAACCAATGTTCAAGTACCAACTCCATTGGAAATTACTCAAGATTTCTACCTATTTATGTGAGATCAAAAGGGATTCCCAACAAATGATGCCTTGCCCTTGAATAAGCCAGGACGAAAACTGTCATGCTAGAAATTGGGAAATGAGCACACAACACACCATGTCCTGAGTAAAATAATGAGTTGGTAGCAGCTCTGGCAGCTCAACTTCACGTTCTCCTTTTGACTGTAGGATGGCTGAGATAATAAACAGTCTTCAAACACTCTTGTGCCCTTTCAAAATGATGCTCAGAATGAAGTTCTCAGTATTATTTAACCAGTAGGTATTTTTATTGTTGATTTTGAATCCATTAATGCTACATTATGTTGGATTATAAGACTTTGGCTACATCTCCCACATTTTCATGCAGGTATTACAACATTTGCAAGGTTTTCTCAGAAAAGTGGAGCAGGCACTTAAAATGCATAAAGGTTATACGATTATAACATGGAAGCTGCATGTTAAGTTACAGAACTTTTTACCACGTGTACCAGTAACAAACCCACACCCGCCATGTAAAACTTCCTTGACCTTCAATAATCTGCTTCCTCTGTCCCTCATCTCCATGGCCCAGCAGGCTGTCAGCCCACATCCCCCGTTTCTGAAAATAAAGCCATTTTCCAGAAAAGTTTAGTACAGTACATTGTTTTTCCTTTAACTAAAAAAGTTTCTCCTCCACTACCCCCACCCCCCAAATGAAAATCTATAACCTACACATTTGTTCAAGCACTTAAATGTTACAAATCTCTATTGCAGTATTCAAAAATATCAGTACAGTAACAAACTTCTAAACATACTAAGATGACCCTAAAATTCTCCTTCCCCCCAAACGACAGAGAACTGAAAATGCTATACTGCATTATCACACTTGCATGCATGTATCCTGAGCCACCTGTATTTATTCACCTTAAGCCCCTTTTAATAAATAACTGTCCAGCAGTAACATCCAGAAGTGTGCTGTCTCCTCCAAATTAAGCTCTATATTTACAGAAGTAGGGCTGTTTTCTCAGTGAAATGTTGTGGTTTTTTTTAAAACAAGAACAAAATAACAACAATAAAAACAGCAAACATTTAAGAGAGAAAGCATATTACCAATCAAGTTTGTTTAAAGACCAACAGGAGTAAAACGTCTTAGGAGCACCAGGTGTGCATGCATCTGAACTGGTACAGTTCATGAAATACCGTCATTCATTGTTACACTCGCCCACTCAGCTGAGGAACTGACTCTTTCCCTTTTTCCCCTTTCACATCGAGGGCCGTCTGCTCCGCAGCTGGCTCCTCCAGATGCCAACTCATGCACTGAGGCTGCAAGCTGGCCATGAACATGCTTTGATCCATGCAGTTCTGCATCAGCTTTAATCACACGAGGTTTTTGTTCCCCACTGCTTTGCACCTTGTGTCTTTTCTTATCTGTGCTAAGGGTGAGCCAAAGGTTCCCCAAATCCTCATTTCTCATTTGGATGAGGCAAAACTTCAGACACTCACTTTCTGCAGGTTTCAAATGATGCTATGAGCTTGAAAATACTAGGGAATCATCCCACATGAGAACATTTCTTACTAGTGCAACTACTGTAATCACAACTGGCCTGCAAGTTGTACCAAAGCAAACGTATTCAGACACCCAGACAGGCAGAAGGACTTCGTCCCTTCACTTGCTAGGAGCCAGTCCTCAGCTGACAGGCACCAGCATTTCTGCCTTGGCTGTGGCTGGCCTGGGTAAGCTCAGCCCAGGTGAGGATCAAGCTCAGCAGGCTACGTAACACAACCACTTTCTCCTCCCGCTTTGTTATAGTGCCTGAGATCATGACAGAYGTATTTACAAAACCAAAAGGCCCTTCTGTAGCCAGTGCAGTATATTCTGCCCCACTCGCTTTGCAAAGGCAAGTCACTGTTTCACTTCATTTCCACTTGCCTACAAATTAACTCGTATCTGCAGCTCCCACTGGAGAAGCTGCAGGAGAAGCCTGTTAGACACCAAATGCCTAATTTTATGTAGTGAGGATGCTGAAAGCCCTATTTATGCTGAGGGTATTTTCAAATCTCTGGTGCTCCCTTCTCTCTTCTATATGGACCTGATTACCTGGAATCCCAAACCATTACTGCCTCTGCTGTACTTCTGCACAGAAACTGTTAAGTTCTGTTGTCTTTGCAAAACTGGACATATTCAAGTGAAGATTCCCTTCAACTATGAGCACGGGATGTTGGATTGTGCCAAGCCCTTCCCAAGCCAACATGTCTACACTTACCAAAGGTGAGTCAGATCTTCCCTACTTTAACATCAATACAAGCCTCCAACAAGAGGTCCCTACTGCCTCCCTTACGAACTACAGGGCCAAGACAAGGCAGAATCCAGCCTGCAGGCTTGATGTGCTCACGCTTACTCCTGACCCATCAATTTGATTTTATTCTCAGTCAATTATTCTCTAATTAGGCAAAGAGTTTTTCACCTTGTGTTATGGRCTCCTTTCCATCATGTGAGCTTCATCGTTGTATCAATTCCCTCCCTTTCTATTCACGGGAGTGCTACTCCCCAACCCAATTTTATAAAGAAGAGAAACCAAACAGAAGCCTACAGAGTTTCTGCACAGAAACACACACTTCTCCAAACAGAAATCTATTCTTAAGGACCAGATTATGCAGTCACTTCATTCAAGTGATTAAAAGAATGAGGACAGGGCTGAGTGCATGCCAGCTACCCTTTCTGTTCCTGAAGAAGTCACAGGTCAGCAAAATACGTGGGCATAAGGATGTTTATCTTGACCCGCAGGACATTTAGAGGCATGTAGAAGTGCTTTGCTGGCTCAGGCCTCAACTAGGAACAGCTCCCAGGCCAGCAGGTACCAATGAGTGTGATTCCACTACCTGCACCAGTATACATGAGGTAAGAGCATAACTCAAGAGAGCAGAGCAGTGCAAGAGCAGAAAGAGGCTCTGTGGTTCTTCCGAGTTTAGTCTTTAACAGCCCCAGCTGTGTACACACGGCATGTCACAGTGATCAGCAGAGATGGATGAGAGCTTGGTGGTGTGTTCTGCATGTGGGACTTCCACGGGAAGTACTAGGCGTGATTCCTATCTGTACCTACACAGCTTTATATTCCTGTAGCAACAGCATGAAGAGGCCTTAAATCTGGAGTAACTGCATGATACAATTAGTGTTTTATCTTTGAGTCATGTGCCAATAACTAGCCTGACATGCTGTGCAACCATAGCTATAGAGATGGAGACATAGCAACACAACGTAAACAAAATTTCTACAACTATCTTAGTAACACAGCCAGCGACACCCAATGTCCTGCAGGTCAAGATGAACCAGCACATGGATCTGCAGCCACCCTCTCCAACACCACATGGCTGGTGGTAGAGGAGAAAAACAAGCTCGGGTGTTACTTTGATTCACTAGGGAATGATCYGGGGCAACCCACGCAGGTGTTGCTTGGCAAACACAACTCATGGGCTGCCCCACAGTCCCGCGTCAAAAATCCCCACCTCTATGCAGGTGCTCACGTCACGTTCAGATAGCACAGGGAGCTAAAATCACCAGCAAGGGGCCACCACGTTTTGCAGAAACCCAACTAAACATCATATAGGAGAGGGGAAAAGCTAACATCGATACCAGATGCTGTCTTGGCCTCAACTATATGCTAACTGGATCTGGCCCGTCTTTAAAAAAAAAAAAAAAAAAAGAAAAAAAAAGATATTCATAGAAGGATTCATATTTGAATCATCACAAGAGCATCCAGAGTTTGAAGGAAAAATTCTCAATGAGTGAATGGCAATGGAATTGATTCCAGAATGCTCCTGCTGTATACATAAAACACACGGTTTGCATATGATAGCAATCATGCTGAACATACATATGTCTTTGTTCCATTTCAGAGCATGTTTCACGCAAGTATAAACTAAACACTGAACCAAGAAGTTTTTGTCTAAATTCTCCTGATATCTGAACAAATATATTCCCAGGTCTTGTTCAGCGTTTGCACTTTTAGAACCAAAAACCTGACCTTCAATGACTATTCTACGCAACCAAATCTAACCACTTGAAGAGCTGGCAAGTTCAATACTGAATTTCCTCGGGAGAAAAACATACTCCTCCTCTATGCTAGATTATTAAAGCTAAGTTATTGGCACATAATCTCATTTTGCTTCATTAATTTCAACTTACATGGAAATTCCACCTGCAGAATCAGACAAAGGCAGAAAGTTATTTTTGCAACTATTGCTCCCTGTTAACAGCTGGATGCAGCACTGTTGGGGAAAGAAAGCAAATTCTTCAATGAACTATGTTTAACCAACTTGCAGGTGGCAGCTATCAAAACATCCGATGCGCATGTGTCTGGCTAAAGTTATTAATGTATGATCTGACATACCAAGTCAGACAAATGTCATAGGCAAAATAGATCTTCAAAGGTATACATACTAAAGCTGCAACTGTATCTAGATGATCATTTTTGGTTTGTTTCTGTTTCCCATAGCTCTGAATCTATCTACTGAATGTTTATGCAGCACGTGTGGTATAAATATATTCATACATTAAAATTGACACTTGGCAATTTTTCTTTTTTTCTTTTTTTTTTTTTTTTTTGCTGACCAGCAACAAATTCTGATATCTTTAACTGTAAACCAATACTCAATAAATATGCTGTGTTCAGCAAAAAGGCGTGTTTTTGTCAACCTGGGTTTTGCCACTCTCTAGGCCATGGGCTGGGGGGGCGGGCGCGAGGGGGGCGGCCCAGGGGGGGCTCGGGACGGGGGCGGCCCGGGGGGGGGCTGCCTGGAGGGAGGCTGCAGAGAGGCGGGAGGAGAAGGGCATCTCGGGGCGTTGTTGAGGGGGATGTCATCCCGCTTCGGCACCTTCGGAGGCGGGCTGTAAGGAGCGGAGGTCCCGTCTGATTTCACACGAGTGAAGTTTATGCATCTTCCCTGCAGATTAAAGAGAGAGAAAAAAAGTTATTTTTCATTACAAAAATGTGTCTTGACTCAGCAGCAGCTAGCCAAAGGGGCTGTAAGCAGAGGATCGGATTGCGCTTAGAGATCTTTATCCAGTCCCATTCTCTGGGTCCTACATGATATTCAGACCATGCTGTGTCAATGGACAGCACTAGAAAGCAGTTCTGCTCTTGGGTTTCAAAGGTGCTGCCTATAAAGAAGAGCCTAGGAGTGGTTTAGGCAAAAGGGAACTCGCATTGCTGCTGTTTGCCCTCTCCTAGTGGAGTTATGCAGAAAGAGACTAAAGCCACAATTCTACAACACAGTCCTGCAAGGTCCTGCAAGATCCAAAAGCAAAGGTACCAAAACCTTCAATGAAAAGCTAGGCATCGCTGCCTCCACCTCCTGGCACAGCAGATACGGGAGGAGACATTTTACAAMCACCTGGCTGCACAAGCTTGGCAGAGGCCTTGTGCCTGCAGGGCAGAAAGGCCTTTCACYGACACATAAGAAGCCTGGAGATGAAGGAGTGACACAGGAGTGATGCTGCTAGCAGCCCATTCAGAGGAACCGTCACACACCTGATGAACTGGCTAATCCCACCTGCCTAAGACCTCCCCACCTCTTTAATACAGCAGCATTTCACACATCACTGCCGTTCTGCAGCTGAAGGGCTATTCCCAGCTGCCACTATGGAAAAGCACACACTGCAGTTGCCTTTTTGCTCATCTCAGCGGGAACTTGGCTTCCAAGTAAATGACTGTGGGCTGGAAGGGATGGGCTCCACCAGCCAGGACCCATTCCTCCTGTGCAGCAGGACTGTTCTGTGCATGCAGAAATCACCCTAACAAAAATGGCAGGTTAGCACAGAGAGGAACATAACTTGTTTCTTTCTTTCCAGGACAATAATAGCTAGAAAAAAGCAAAGCAGGGGTTTGGTATCTGTCCCAGAAGGCCCCTTCCTCCCACTGCTCCAGGAGAGCTGCCCAGCCCTGTGCCTTGGTTGTCGCCTGCACAGGAGACACGCTCAGTACTTCTCAGCCCCAGCTTCCACCATCACGAGCTCAGCACTTCACTCAAACTGCAGTCTCATAACGGGAAAAATCCCCATCCCAAAGGGCAAGCTTGTTACAGAGGTCTTAGTTTATGAACCAGCTTCAAAGCAACATTGGGGCTGGAGCATCTGTGCGTGGAGGTACCATGGAATGGAAGCCAAGCAGGATCCTGGTTATTTCTGCAACTAACATGAACCTTCAGATCAAAAGTCAAGTCAATGCTTTGCTCTGCGCTGTCACAGGACAGGAGCCCTGGGCCAGGGCTGCAGCAAGGGGCCATCCCCATCCGTGTAAAGCAGCCCTTTTTCTTCTGCTATGCTCTGTTGTATCCAAAGCACACTTTAGGCTTCTAGGAAATTCAACACTATTTATTCTTCTGCAGTGAACACTACAGAAATGTTTAGCAAGTGCTCTGCAGATAATATTTCAGAAAAGTCAGCCTTGATATTTCTAAGGTTATGAATTCAAAGCAGCTAAATCACCCAGGTCAAAAAAAAAAAAAAAATGGTATTCAGAAGACAGTGTCCGTATGAGGAGCAGAAGGGAAAAATAAGACATAAAGCAGAGCAAACTCCCTTATAGGAAATGTAAAGCTGCAAACCAAACCCTGGTGCTTTTGCCTACAAGCCTTTCCTGCCTCCGTTCTATCTCCCAAACATCAATTCCAAATATATTCATAGTCTATAATCAAAGGGGATCCCATAAATCTGTTTGCATTACTTTCACTTCAGTTAAAGTGATGGGCGACGTCAAACTGCTGCCAGTTTCTGCCACACTCGCTGATTTGTCAGACAGATGGGTAATTTAAAGGCCATGCGCCGCATTGTGTCATGAAAAATACGGTTGCATTGGGAGAGTCTGACAAATAAAGGCTGGGATGATCGATGTATCTGAAGTGACACTTCCTCACAAAGGATTATTAGTGTGAGCCTCCACTCTCATTTATCAACAACTTACTGGTGAATACCGGAGTAAATTCTTCTGAGCACCTCACGYAGCCATTGATAAATCAAGGCCGAGCTCTTAGCTCGTGCTAGATTAGCAGCCAATAGCGAGGGGGAGGCACAAACGGTTATAAATCACAAGTTGTACTTTGAGCTTATCCGTTGCCTTTCATCAAAAGATTTCCAGGTTGAAGAACTGGGTTCTGTGCTTATCACATTGTGTAGAAGAGAATGACACGTCTGCTCTGGTAGAACATGCACATTCCTCTGGGATCAACTTGGAAAATAAATAAATAAATAAATAAATAAACAAACAAACAAAACTACATGAGCCTCTTTCTCAAATAATCATTCTGTTTCTTAAAGTAACCACAGGATTTTTAATATTCTCTTTGAAAGGATTAATTTCTGCTCCAGGTGCACATAAATCACTTCAACGCTGTAAAGCATGGACAGAAACATTAAGGTATTATTCCAAAGGTATCCTGCACCATGGACAGAAATATTACGGTATTATTCCAAAGGCATCCTGCACGCTCGCTGTCCCCACGTTAATAAACACAAGCGACCAGGCTGCAGCGGGAGCYCTCAGCGCTCCCGAGTGCCCGAGCAGCACCTTTCCTGCGGGACGGCGCGYGGCACCGCGCGGGGCACCCGGTACCGCCGCGGAGCCGCAGGTCCCGGTACCGCCGCGGTGCTCTCGGCCTCACACAGCAGCTGCCGGGAGCCGCTTCRCTCCCTGGGAAGCAGATGCTGGTGCGGGGCCGGGCCGCGCACGGAGCGGCATCGCCGCACGCGGGACCTGCCCGCGCGCCCTGCTCCGGGCAGCGCCCGCGCTCCGGCCCTCCGCGCGGCGCCAGATGGACCGGCGCCCGCCCGCCCTCCGCCTCCAGCTGCACAYGCTCCCCGGCCCATATGTCCGGCCCTTGTTGCCCCGCTTGCCAATGTGGCTTTTCAAAAGGTACATATAGCGAAGCAGCGGGGTGTGCCCTGCCCCACTGCAGCTTTTATCCCAGCTAACGATCCCATGTGTCATTCCGTGATCCCATGTGTCATTCCGCACTTGGTATTCCCAGGCAGTGCCTCCTCCACCGCCTAGAAGACGTTTTTGTGTGTGCTGTAAAGGGGGAAGGAAGGGAGGATAGCCCTGAAAGCCTCTCCAGTTTTTCTGGGCTATTTTGATGATAATGCTCAGCACATCTTTCCCTAGCAGCAAATCTCTTCACCCAATACACCAAGAGCACTTCAGCAAAAAGGATTTTGAAAATCCACCCTATCTCCCGTCACTAGCTGTCACCTTGCTCCATTCCTCTTAATACATCCTCATATTTAACAAAAATCAAATGCTGCCTCACCTGTCCATGCCATCTATGCCAGAGTTTTTTAGGACACTGAAATCTGAGATTATCATAATTTTTTCAGGTTCAAGTGAAATCAAATTTCTCTCCAGTTTGCTTTATCTATGCTATTGTGTTTTATCTGGAGTGACTCTCCCCCAGTTTGTTATAGGAATGGTTTGTGAACATTTCCCTTTGCTTCCTAAAAATCTGTCACTAGTTCAACAAGAAATTGGAGTCTGAAAACTCACAAAGAATACAGCCAGCTTTTTATGCTACCTGCAAAATGTAAGACATACAGAATAATGCAACATCACAAGGCAACAGAAGATATCTGAGAGCTAGGCTACGGAAAAAGTCAGAGCCAGTTTAGCTGGCTGAAGGTTTTGATCCAAACATCCAGAATCCAAGGGGGTTGCAAAGCTTTTGTGGTCAACAAGTTTGGGCCAGGTCTGCTTTGACTTTTGGGAAAGCTGAATCTTGGGAAAAAAAATCAGAAGACGGTGATCAAAAGAAAAACATTTTAGCCCATGCACCTAAACTGAATATCCTAAAGCACTAACAGCGTGGGAAGCCTGCTCACTAGATTTATGAGTGAGGCAGATTATGGATACAGTAATTTTAAAGAGAAAGAGCTGATCCGAGGAGGCCCAGGATTCCCACTCTTCCGATTCCTTGGGTTGGTACCAGGCTTAGCAGCTGGCTCCTAAGGAGCCAGGGTCCATGTGAACCAGGCTTTGCTGAACGCTTCCGCACACGGCGCTGCCTCACGCTGGACATGTCATGGCTCATTAAAACCTTCACCAATTTCCTGGGAATTGCACTGATTACCCCGCAGCATACAGGCTGGAAATTAGTGACCCACCGAAACAGTTTGCCACATAAAATACAAGCCTGCCTGCTGGTTTTCAGGCACGTTCAAATAACTTTCACTAGTTACTCTTACATTTGCAGCTGACACATTGCTTTTTGCTGAAGGATAAAGTACTGGATAAGTGAGAGATTTCCAGAGTAGCCATTTGGTGGCTGATCATTCTGTCAATAAATATATAATTTATATTTATAGTTATATTAATCTTGATCACAATATAATTTATTGTATAGTATTTTAGGCCTTAATTCATTAACTTGTAGTTTTTTTATATAGCCAGATTCAGTTATTAAGTATCAAAATAAAAACTATAAGTACTTGCTTGCATTGGAGTCTAGGAGTGAGGCTTTTTAAATATCTGCAAGTTTAAAAAAATCCTTCTTTGTCAATAGTTACTTTCTGAGTAATCTATTTGGAAGTTCAGAATTAACACTTTAAATGATGGTAATCCAAACCCAGGAACAGCTGAGAAAGGCACTGACTGACAAGAAGGGGATTTTAGATGCTAAGGCTCAATACATAAAGTAATGGCATCCAACACCGAGAATACGATACTAGTTCCTTCAGTATTACTTTTTAAAAGGAAATTCAATTCATCCCTTTCTTTATCCAGTCCTTATCCAGTCCCTTATCTGGCCCCTTGATATGTAAATCGAGAGCACCTCCAGTCCCTCCTTTTATCGGAGAGTTTTGGAGTTCTTAGAAGGAGAGGAAAACCACTATATTGGAGATTACCAGTCACTCCTACACTGTTCCATCCGGGCCCTACAGCTGCCTTGGGCACACG